GAGTCCTTGATGATCCTCCCCGCTTTCCTCAGGCACCGTTTCCTGTAGATGTCTTGGAGGGAGGGAAGCTCACCTCCAATTATCCGTTCAGAGCACCGCACTACTCGCTGGAGAGCTTTGCAGTTGTAGGCGGTGCTGTTGCCATACCAGGTGGTGATGCATCCAGTGAGGATGCTCTCAATGGCACAGTGATAGAAGGTCCTGAGGATGCGGGGGCTCATGCCGAATCTTTTCAGTCTCCTGAGAAAGAAGAGGCGCTGCTGCGCCTTCTTCACTGTTTTGTTTGTGTGTACTGACCACATAAGATCCTCAGCCAGATGTACACCAAGGAACTGGAAGCTGCTCACTCTCTCCACAGCAGCGCCGTTGATGGTGATGGGGGTGTGTACTTCTCTGCACCTCCGGATGTCCACTATCAACTCCTTTGTCTTTGCGACGTTGAGGGTGAGATGGTTGTCTTGACACCAGTGGGTCAGGGCGCTGACCTCCTCCCTGTAAGCCGTCTCATCACCGTTGGTGATAATTGGTGGTGGTGGTTGGTGATACGATGGTATTGAATGCTGAGCTGTAATCTACAAACAGCATTCTCACATACGTGTCTCTCTTCTCCGGGTGTGACAGGGCAGTGTGTAGTGTCAGGGCTATGGCTATGGCTATTTAAAACTGTAAAATATACAGTAAGATACTTTGACATTACTATTTTTTGGAACAGTGCTGTTGATATCAGGTGGAGCTAAAATTGGAGGTGTTTTTCCTTCATTGCTCCATCCAAATTGTGCAATGTACCAGTACTACCGGCAGCAAAACAGTCCCAGAGCATGATGCTACCACCACCATGCTTACAGTTGGTACAGTGTTCTTAGGTCTAACTTTTCTTCTTCTAAACATATCTCTTGTCATTGTGACCAGATAACTCAATCTTTGTCTCGTCTGACCAAAACACTTTTCTTCAGAAGGCATTTGGCTAATCCATATGCTGAAAATTTTAATCAAGCTTGACGGTGTTGACTTCAGAGCAGGAGCTTTGTTCTTGGTCAGCACCCTCTCGGTCTATGACGATGTAAAACTTGCTTCACTGTGGACAATGATGCTGGTTTTCCAGCAGTTTCATGGCAGGGTTAAGCTTTGGTGCTTCCTGGGTTGTTCCTGTGCATGCTAAACAATTTCCTTACATCTGAGGGTGACAGTTTATATACATCAGTGACATAACTGAATAACTTGTATTTATGTACAATTGTTTGCACTGATGGCCTGCAGTTATGTAAAAATGGCTCCATTAAGCTTTTGGAACTGCCAAAGCCACGACATCAAGCCTACTGAAAATTTGTGGATTAAATTTTTGACATGTAAACAACTGTACTGACAACAACTGTACTTGGAACAGCTACAGCTCAAGCAAAGCATCCTCATAAAGCCTCCTCATAGCAGATCACTTGTTTTTCTCTGTACACCATAACAGCTATAGTTAAAAAATCACAGTATTATTTTTGAAGCCATTCTCGCTTTACATTATTCCTTAAAACTTCTGACAGTCGTTCACATGAAAGTGTGTTTAAAGGTAATCCCATGATGCAAGCTCACATTCAGTTGCCCTGTATTTGACCTGACATGATGAGAGTCAGATGTTTCAAGTCACAACGCAGACATTCCTCACATTCTTACATGTCTCAAGGTCTTACACTGCAGCACAATGTGTAATAGTAAAAACAAGTAAAAACTGACCAGGTAAACAAAGCTGGCAACTCTGCTATTGCTAGATGGAGGGAAACACTCAGTTGTAAAGAGTCAAAGATTATGTTAGCTTTACTGGGAAGTAGTGGGAATGTTGCCAGTCTATGACAGCCCACTGTGACCAAAGGTTTCCTAGTGTAGTGCTACATACTGAGGATATATAGATACTGTATACGTGGCTCAGGGAGGACTCCTAATTAGGGCATACTACAATCAGTTTCCACTATTTTTCCAGGAGAAAGTACCTCATTATCATTTTTAAAAACTTTTTTTTTTAAATTTGATTTTGAATGCCACAAATTCCAGGTCATCATCATCTTAGAGGTAAACATTTCAGCTCCCTGTCTAAGAAGAATAAAAAATGTCTGTCAATAAGAAGCAAATGAGAAATCTTGATCTCTGAAGGACTGACCTTAAATCTTTGCACACTTCTGCTCTCTCTCAATCAAATGACATTCGTCCTTGTTTACATGTATTCCCATATATGTAAATTTATGGTGAGTCATTAAAGCTTTGCTAGTTTTGCAGACATTAAAGCACACCGCTCGGCACACTGTTACTTCTAGTACTTCCTGCTGTACTTCCCTGTTCTGTCTTTAAAGGATGCGATCACAGTGGAATGATATATACTGTACAGACAGACGTGTTGCAATACTCCAGGGAAGAGGAATATGTTTGCATTTTAAAAAGGCATTGTGGAGGTGTTTGCCAACTTTCGATGAAGTCGGGGGGAAAAAAAGACTGATTTACTTCAGGAGCAAAATCATTCAAACCTTTAGCGGCACCAGTGGGCTGCAGTGAAGCGATGCAAATATGCAGCAAGATGACTAAATAACTTGTGATGTACAAAATGTTACAGATGAGAAAAGAAATGAAAGCTCCTAAAGAATGCAATATCTCCTGTGAGGATTTCCTTACCCTCCTGTATGTGTATTTTAAAATTTTCAGCTTCTTAGGAAATACTTTAGGGAGCCATCTGTAATAAGACTGTAATATACGCACACCTACACTATTTTTCTTTTACGTTTTAGACTGTTGTGAAACTATGTTTATGTTTCATTTATGTTTTCAATCCTCTGGAAACTCGTTAGCACTTTTAATATGCACGACTAACAACATCTATGAGTGATTGCAAGTATTTATGAATACGTAGGGAGGAAAGTATCTCATATGCACATCTTTTCTTTGCTTCACCATCTTCTCTGCTGAGCAGATTGGGGCTCTAAAATTTAAATTTAAAGGTCTGTATTTATTAGTAGTGGGCTTTACATAAATATTTAATAATATTTCTGAGATGTTACTGACTGTCTCGAGGCATACTAAACATAACTATGGTAATTTCTCATGTTCTTCCACATCATTTGTATTTAATGCAGTTTACTTGTTCTCTTCACATAACTACAAGGTTAGTCAATCAATCATACATACATGGTAAATGGTAAATGCCTGCATTTGTATAGCGCTTTTCTAGTCCCTAAGGACCCCAAAGCGCTTCACACTACATTCAGTCATCCACCCATTCACACACACATTCACACACTGGCGATGGCAAGCTACATTGTAGCCACAGCTGCTCTGGGGCGCACTGACAGAGGCGAGGCTGCCGGACACTGGCGCCACCGGGCCCTCTGACATGCATGCATGTATCTATGTAACTCTTATCCAACACAGGGTCACAGAGGGGTTTGGGCCAGCTGGCATGGACACATTGGTATTTAAATGATGCTCAGTTGCTTCAGGGGTCCAGTGTGTCAAGAAAATATTCCCCACACACCATTACACCGCCACAACGATGAACCATTGATACAAAGCAGAATTGTTTTTTACATCAATTTCTGACCATTTCCTGCAATTCGAGACTCATTGGAGCATGCAATGCGTTATCATTCTTTCACTGTCAAATTGCAGCCTTTTTCCTGTTCTTATCTAACAGGAACAGCACCCGGTGTGGTCTTCTGCTGCTGTAGCCCATCAGTTTCAAGATCTGAGGTGCTGTGAATTCACAAATGCTCTTCAGCATACAGTGACTGCAATGAATGGTTATTCTAATCGGGGCTCTGGCATCAACCAAACATTTTCACCCAAATAACTGCCATTCAGGGGATATTTTCTCTTTTTAGGACCATTACCTTTGAACTTTAGAGAGGGCTGAGCAGGCAGCCAGCCTGCCGGGTCAGCCGTTTCTGAAATATCAACATCTGTGCCCTGTTTAAAATCACTTAAATCAGCTTCCATCTCCATTCTGATGCTCAGTTTGAACTTCAGCAGGTGACTGGCTAATTGGATTAGGATTAACAAGCAGCTGAACATGTATACCCAATGAGCTACTGAGTAATTTATTTAGTCAATCTGAATCATCTTCAGAGCCTCCTAACTTGAGCTTGCAGAGTTGCATTAGTAGCTTGCAACAGAGATATTGGTAAGTGACTTAAACTTCACTTACACGAAAAAGGACCAAGTTGCCTCCTGTCAACATAATCAATGCAGTAGTTTTACTTTCACTTTGTAGGCGTAACGTTTCCTGTCTCTGAAATGTCTACTGAATGTTAGACACAGGTCTCCATGTGGTTTTGAAAAGTTAAGCCCATGGAAGTCCCTCAGAACTTCATTCTTTCAATTAGCCAGCAGGGGGCAGCTCCTCTGGATATAAACAAGCCTAATGCTAATTGAAAACTTCAGTAAACAGTTTACCGATGAATCACGAACACTGGTTTCTGATCTCATTTAATACAGCTTGACATTCATCGTGTAAATTATGGCCTTCTTTAGAATAAAAAAACGCAGGGTGAGCTTTGAAACCCCAAGCCAACGTCTTGAAAAGATGATTTTAGTGGGTGACATCATGTCTGGCTACAACCATTTTTTCTAAACAATCTGTGTGTCAGAATTAGTGCACACAAATCAAAAGCTGTTGTGGGAGAGCAAAACAACAACAAAGTTTGATTAATTTACGTAATGTTATTGGTACTGCTGAGCTTTCAGGAGATATCCAATCCTCTTTTGCTATGTATGACCATTGCTCACCCTGAGCTGGATAATTTAGCAGATATCAGTAGTTTATGATTAATAGAGTAGGTGTGCTTTGCAAAAAAAAAATTAGTAAAAAAAAATCTTTGTTTACTTTGCACACAGCAGCCTCCTGTGAAATCCTAGCTTATGAAAAGAAAATAACTTTCTTAGTTTCTCTTTTGATTTGTTCACAGTTATGTTAGACATAATCTGAATGGCAGATCTTACTGTTAGTCACTCAAATGTGCTCTGCATGTAGCTTTGCTTTATCCAAACCAGTTGTTTATTTCCAGTATGTCAATCACATGTTTAATTACATATTCCTTCAAATCTTAAAAGGTGGTGCCACTGTGTGATTTTCAAACATTTATAACTTGACTGTTTTGATTGTTTGTTTACAGCTTTGCCTTCACAGCATTGCACTCTATGACTCCTGCTGACAGCATCTGGTTTATCTGTGGGGATGTGAAGCCGTACTCCTGTAGGACCTCAGCTGTGTGTTCTCCAGTAACGGGGTCGGAGGTGAGGCAAGGCTCAGCAGGAGTGCGAGACAGAACCGGGGCTGGTCGGGGGCTTTCTTCCCCACTGGAGTCCTTGATAAAAGAGCCTCTTTCCCGGTTATGTGGGTGTGAGCTCACCTGGTCAAAAGACAACACAGGTGTAACACAAGCATCAGTCCCATCAAAAATCTCTGACCACTCCGCCTGGCTCTTTGAGGTAAAACGCTCTGTGAAGATTCGTCTGAGCTCTGGCCAATCATCAAAGCTCATCTGAGAAGGCAACTCTCCAGCATCCAACTCTAAGCCTAGAAAGAAAAAACAAAAAGCAAAACTTTTTATGACCCAAAAGTAATATCAAGTTAAATAAACTTCAGTATAACAAGCTGGTGCAGAAGCAGCCAACACTTTCATCTCAGTATGGGTTGCTGATCTTGCTGAAGGTCCAAGTTGGCCACATGATGTAATCATTTTAACCACTCGTTACTGCTCTATTAAATAATGAATAATGACTCCATGTGCAGGATTTAAGCACTGACTTTAATATAGCAGTTTTTTTCTGTAATTTCTTATGCACAATTTCTCTTTCAGCCAAATACGACAGACAGGAGTGATCAGCAGTGCAGTATTTTCATATAATGAATACA